CCCTTTCTTTCTTTTCTTCCTTCCTTCCTTCCTTCCTTCCTTCCTTCCTTCCTTCCTTCCTCCCTCCCTCCCTCCCTCCCTCCCTCCCTCCCTCCTTCCCTACCTACCTACCTCTTGCCCCCAACTATCTGGGTCCTCATTTTGCCAATCTCAGAAAGATGACAGTCTGAGTCAACCTCGAGCTGGTCAGGATCGAACTTTCTAGCTGTAGCCAGGGTCAGCCTGCAGTCCTGTACCCTAACCACTGCACTGCACCACCAACGTCCTTGTTGACCTCCAGTTAACCATTTCTCTCTCTGTCTCTCTCTCTCTCCTCCTGCTCTCTTCTCCCGCCGTGGTCGCCTCCTGCCTGGGCCAGACCCGCCGTGGACACGGCTGGCAAGGAGGCTAAGAATGGGGAGGACAGGCCGGCGTCCGTCATGAGCTCGCTGAGCTATCGCAAGCGCGCCAACCTCAAGGACTCCATAGGAGGGAAAGGGGACGAGGAGAGCCTCTTCTCCGCCCTGAGTGAGCGCCCGGACTCACCGGACCGCTCCTTCCGCAAGGCCACCCGTGCCTCAACGGCTGGCGGCTCGGACGAGAGTAGCTCCCTCGCCTCCTGGAAGAAGCCGCTTGGCGGAGGCCTGGACGAGCTCAGCGAGAGGGGCTCGGTCCTCTCCGAGACCAGCAGCCGCCTCCCCAAAGGGCTGGAGAAGCGCTGGTCCACCTCGGCTGCCGAATTCGATCGGACCTCGGTCCTCTCGGCCACGGTCAGTCAGAGTGGAGCCTCCTGGGCCGGCCTGGAAGATGACACCCGCTCGTCACTCAGCTTGGCCCTCTCAAGCCCCGGGAGCTCCCGGCGTAGCGCTTCTCGTTTGGACGACCTCGTCCCGTCCTACGGCCGTCCGGGCTCCCGGATCTCTTTGAGCCGTTCCCAGCTGGATGATACCGCCAGCCTGGCCCCGAGCGACTCCCGCTCCCTCTGCAGCCAACACTCGGCCGCGCGCAGCCTCTCGGTGCCTCCTCGGCCCCGGACGTCCGCCGCAGATGATCTGCGCCTCAACGAAACGGACATCCGGCCCGTCGGCCATCGGAGCTACCTCGACCCGGATCTGGAGGCCGCGATCAGCGAGGTGCTAAACTACAAGCCTGTCAAATTCAGACGCTCCAGCCAGGACCCCGACTCAGATGAAGACGACCGCAGGAGTGTCCACAGTGCCAGGAGCACCACCCTGCTGGAGACCACCGAACACCCGGCCAGCAGCCTCCGCCGGTCAGCCTCGGCTTTGGACTTCTACAGACCTGATCAGAAAACGAAAGGTAGGAGAAGCCGGAAGCGGAGTTCGTCCAGCGACTCCGACTCCTCTTCTTCCTCCTCTTCCTCCTCCTCTCCCGAACGGCAGCGAAAGACCTCCAAAAAGCGTGCCAAGAAGTCCAAGAAGAAGTCCAAGAAGAAGAAGCAGCAGAGATCCCGCTCTGGCTCACCTTCGGAGTCTTCGTCCAGTTCCACCGTCTCGTACCGCAGCGACTCCAGCATCAAGAAGGGCCCGAAACGTTCCGATGGGGAGAACGGCGGGGTCCCCAGAGAGGGTGGGGGTCCCGAGCCTGGGAAGTCCACCAAGCAGCTGAAGAAGGAAGAGAAGAAACGCAAGAAGCAAGTGGACAGCCTGATGATGAAGTACTTGTATCGGCCGGAGAGCGACTAAAGGCAGGTGGTAGCATGGAGTGTGCCGAGGTTGAGCATGGTGTTCCAGACTAATATGGGCAGTGGACGGGGTGGGGAGGAAGCTTTGGCTTGCTGTTCCAGGTGTTCCAGTGGTTTTCGGCATGGGGGGGGGTTGGCTCTGGACACTTGGGACCTCTTGTGGTTTGGGGACTGACCTCCAGCATGGAATGTGTGTCTCCGGGAACTAACCCTGTCTTCGTGGGTTCTCACTTTGACCTCCCCGTACACCTCTGTCCGTCTTCGTGTCTGTGATGAGCCAAAGGGGCGTGGTACAAAGGCAACCCAGTCACATAAGCAAGAAGAGTCCCTTCGGTACCTCCAACTTTGCCCCCAATGTCCAGGTGACCTTCTGGGCCGGAGAAAAAAGGTCTCCCAGGAACAGCCTTTAAGTGGAGGAAGTTCAGTCCGAAAACAAAATTACATACAAACTGTAAATAAAAATCCACACAACCCACAAGCTGCAGCAATGAACGGGACAGGGCAGGAGAAGGAATTGCAGACTTGGAAAGTCCAACAAAACACACACAGTCGGGAGGACGCCGGGAACCCAGATAAGTCACAACAATACAAGATAAATTCATGTTTGCTCCCAACAGCTTGCTGAGCGCAGCTTCCCTTTTTAAACACTGTGTTCCCAGCTGCGGCTAATGAAGGGAATCGGGGCCCTATCCTCCCCCATAAGCCACACAATCCACGTTGCTCCCTTCTCCGTTCCCTTTTGCGTGCCCTAGGATGAAAAGGGGATGGGCCTGGGTCTTCCTCTGAATTCCCTCTCCCTTGTTCTACCTCTCCCTTGTTCTACCTCTCCCCTGCTCTGCCCAGCCGGACTTTGCCCTTCCCTAGTTTCCTCCACAGCCAACGGAGCCACATTCCCGCTCCCTGTCCGCTGCTCATCTTCCTCCTCGGATTCCGACTCCCAACAGGGACGTGACAGTGTCAGAAGCACCCGCACAGCTACCTCTGGGTTGCAAGGATGGGCCAACACCGTTGGCTGATTGCGTCCGTGTGGTTTGAGGAGGAGGATGGCGACTGCTCTCGGGTCGCGGAGATGATCTTCGCGGTCCTCTAATTTTGGGTGGTGGTGGAAGTCTGTGAAGACCAGTCCTGCAGAACCTGAGCCGATGGACTCCTTGCGGCCTACACGGAAGGTTGGCAGCTTCCAAAATTTGTGGGGGCAGGAGAAGATGCTCCCTTCCTTATCCTCTGCCAGCATCTTCCTCGGAAGAACAAGGTTGTCTCTGGCCGTAGGACCAGATCCTGAAGAAGAGAAGACCTTGAGGAACTGCTACCTTCTCAGAAGCCTTCAAGAATTGAGTGCCTTTATTCCGTAGGCCAGGTTTTGTCAACCTTGTCCACTTGAAGAGGGGTGGACTCCCTGATAGCTGGGGGATTCTGGGACTTGAAATCCACCCGTCTTAAAGCCTGCTGGATGGGGGATTCTGGGAGTGGAAGTTCACACCTCTTAAAGCATCCTGGCTGGGGGATTCTGGGAGTGGAAGTTCACACCTCTTAAAGCATCCTGGCAGGGGGATTCTGGGAGTGGAAATCCACCCCTCTTAAAGCATCCTGGCTAAGGGATTCTGGGAGTGGAAGCCCTCCCCTCTTAAAGCAGGCTGGCTGG